TATACCCGCACTCACTCATGTTATCAACACCTCTCTTCACTTTTAGAAAACTACATCCCTTCTTGCGTTCATTGCAAAGACACTTCAGCGAGTTGTGTTCAACCAACTCTCTATGTTTCTCGCACAGAACAACCTCATGGACAGCAACCAATCTGGCTTCAAAAGTGGCCACTCAACTGAAACGGCACTGCTCTCGGTTACTGAAGCCCTGAGACTGGCAAGAGCAGCTTCCAAATCCTCAGTACTCATCTTGCTGGATCTGTCTGCTGCTTTTGACACAGTTAACCACCAGATCCTCCTGTCCACCCTCATGAAGATGGGCATCTCAGGAACCGCACTCCAGTGGTTCAAGTCTTACCTCTCTGGTAGGTCCTTCAGGGTGTCTTGGAGGGGTGAGGTTTCTAAGTCACAACTTCTTGCTACTGGGGTTCCTCAAGGCTCAGTGCTTGGACCACTTCTTTTCTCCATCTACATGTCATCTTTAGGATCCGTCATTCAGAAGCATGGCTTTTCCTATCATTGCTATGCTGAGGACACTCAATTCTACTCCTCATTCCAACCAGATGATGCGACAGTAGCTGTTCGCATTGCAGACTGTCTGACAGACATTTCTGGCTGGATAAAGGATCATCACCATCAACTCAACCTTGTAAAGACAGAACTGCTCATGATCTCAGCCAACCCAGCACTTCATCACAACCTCTCTATACAGCTAGGGTCATCAACCATAACTCCTTCCAGGACAGCCAGGAACCTTGGAGTTGTGATGGATGATCAGTTAAGCTTCACAGACTATATTGCTACAACGGCCCGGTCCTGCAGGTTTGCCTTATACAACATTAGGAAGATTAGTCCCTTCCTAACAGAGCAGACCGCACAACTCCTTGTCCGAGCTCTTGTTCTTTCCAGACTGGACTATTGTAATGCTCTCTTGGCGGGCCTTCCTGCATGTATTATCAAGCCTCTGCAAACTGATCCAGAATGCAGCAGCCAGAGTGGTCTTCAATGAGCCGAAAAAAGCTCACGTCACACCTCTCTTCATCAGTTTGCACTGGCTGCCAATAGCCGCTTGCATCAAATTCAAGGTACTGATGCTTGCCTACAAGACAACCACTGGCGCTGAAACCAATATACCTAAACTCGCTAGTTCAGAAGCTCCAGAAGCTTGCGTTCTGCAAGTGAACGACGCCTCGTGGTGCCACCCCAAAGTGAAACAAAATCACTCTCACGGACCTTTTCCCGGACTGTTCCCAGCTGGTGGAACAACCTGCCTATCTCAATCGAGCAGCCAAGACTTAAGCCATTTTCAAAAAACATCTAAAGACATTTTTCGCCATCACCTGACCAAATTAATACTAGTACTTACCTATTCTATTCTATTTAGTCTAATGTATTTATATATATATATATATATATATATAAAATGTCAATTGTGTTGTTGAGACAACAGTGAAACTGTTTGCATCAGGTAAAACTATTTTCTAAATATCAAACTTTTTATTTTTCTTCTTTTGTTTGTTTATGCCTCAGTGATGGACCATACGCATGATTTCCCAAGCCTAACTTAAGATTTTTCGGCTCATTCAACTCAATAAGCAAACAATTCCTGACACAAGAGGAGTACTGTCTACTGGGGCGTGCATGTGTACAACTTCCTTTGAACTATAAAATCAGTTTGAAATATTGTGCAATGGGTCTTCAAATGAAAATGTGTGCTCTAAAGTCTAAAGGAGTACAATATGAAGGATCAAAAACCATGCACCACCATTCATAAAATAGCCTCAGCAATCATTACAGATGCAAAGTCATATTACTGTCGCCCAACAGGCACACTTGCATGGGGATGTGTCCCCAGTGGTTATTATTTAATCAGCAGTAAATGGTCTTAATTAGTAGATTAATCTCTTTCCAATTAGCTCACTTTGTAATTGCCCTAATCTACCACTGCACTCCTTTGAATCCTAATTTAGAGCTGTGCATTTAGATTCACAGGGGACCTATCAAATGCGTCATTATGAACCAAGTTATTCTCACATAAACCAACTGCTTATGAGCCATTCCGGCCCAATTTGGAGAGCAACTGCTGTGTTTTTGTTTCTATTGTGCCATCATTTGACTTGTGAAGACATTGTGAAGTCATGCTGCACTATTTTGTTTTTTTATGCTGGCTAAATGAGACCTTTGAGGTCCATTTTATTCTTTATTGCCAATTGCAATTTCCCTCCATCCAGCTTGACTTCTAATTTTAGAGAAGAATATGAGTGGTCACCCATTATGCTTATTCTGTCATTTGACACCATGTGGAGCCCTGCAAAAGCTGGGCTGGGGCTACATGCATACAACTTGCCAATAATTTAATCCTGAAAGTTTGAGTACACACAGCTGAGCTTTCAGGAAAAAAAAGTTAGGTAGATCCTTTGCAGATCCCGTTTTTGGCTTCGCCATCATTATTGTCATTATGAAATATTAATCTCAGTTGTGCATATAATCATTTAATGCACATTTTATTTGGATTTGATTAATATACCAATTTTTCCATCTAGTAATTTAAAATATAAAATAATTTTATTATTAACATTTTTAGTTTTAATAACATTTGGCAGATTCTGTGCTGGGTTCACTGTATAAATTTTGCCCCTGAAGTAATTATAACCCTTGAGTAGTGTGACGAGTCGGCTGCCTCCCCCTAATTATCAGCATCACCCCGTCCCTTAATCGCTGCCTTTCGCCAGGCTCCCTACAGGAGTGGGTGGGTGAGAGAGGAGGGGCGCTGAAATAACCAGGGTTGGCGGCGTGTGATGGGGCACCCCTGAACCGTATGGAGCCTCATCACGCCGCTGTTTAATTGCCGAGCGTGCCTCTCCTCGGGAGACCGTTCTCTTCCCCCGAGAACTGCACCCGTTACACAGCTGTCGGGCCAGGATGCTGGGCCATCTAGTCCCTTCAAGCGCCGTGGGCCAAGGCGAGAAGGATGCAGCCGCTGGAAGAAGCCGCCGCTCCCCGGACTGGAGAGGGGAGCGAGTGCGGCCGCCGGACTCCACCCCTTACCTGGACCCTTCCTTCCTGACCACTGCCCTTCACGAACCCTGTAGCACGACGAGGACACCAGATCCCTTGTTTTATTTTGGACACTTGATTCCCCTTTTTCCTGGACACGTTGTTTATATTATTTTGTTAATAAAAGCCTCTCCGAGGCCTGACGCCACACCCACCCACACCCGTTTGGTCATCCCGCCACAGTAGTTACATTGTTATCAAATATTTCTGGCAAATTATATTATGTAGCATCTTGCATGTTTTGTGACACTTTCATGTCACAACATTTTATTGCGTTGATTGTTTTTAATGTTCTGTGGCATTTGAAAATTGCTTACCACCTACACTAAACCCAACCTTAAACTCAAAACCGATGTGCTAATGAAAGCAGTGTTAATAAAACACAGGCATGAGATAAAAAATGAAGCAGCCTTGATATTTTAGCTTGCTTCTACAAGTCTTTGAGCTCTTTTATCGTGACTGGTTTCACAGGATGCGTACCTGAGCACTCTGCACTGCAAGTACAGTACCACGCTGTACCAAGTGAGCTAAGTTTACTATGTCAGAAAAGCCATACATATGAAACTAGTTATGTTATGCAAATATCAAAATGCATGATTTAACTAATGAAAAATCATGCAAACCATATAAAAGTATTTTGAGATTATAACATAGCATGAAAACAATTTGGTAACACTTTTGTATAGGGGCCAATTCTCACTATTAACTAGTTGCTTATTAGCATGCCTGTTAATAACATATTACATTTACATTTAATCATTTAGCAGATGCTTTTATCCAAAGCGACTTACAAATGAGAACATTAGAAGCAGTCAGACCAACGAGAGAACAACAACAGTATACAAGTGCCATGACAAGTCTCAGGTAGTCTAGCACAGTACACGTAGCTATGTTTTTTAATTTTTTTTTTATAAATAATAGAGTGGAATAGAACAGAACAGAATAGGTAAGTGCTAGTATTAGTTGGTCAGGTGCTGGCGAAAAAGATGTGTCTTTAGATGCTTTTTGAAAATGGCTAAAGATTTAGCTGATCGAATTGAGATCGGGAGGTCATTCCACCAGCTGGGCACAGTCCAGGAAAAGGTCTGTGAGAGTGATTTTGTGCCTCTTTGGGATGGCACCACAAGGCACCGTTCACTTGCAGAACGCAAGCTTCTGGAGGGCGCATAAGTTTGAACTAGCGAGTTTAGGTATATTGGTGCAGTGCCAGTGGTTGTCTTATAGGCAAGCATCAGTACCTTGAATCTGATGCGAGCGGCTACTGGTAGCCAGTGTAACCTGATGAGGAGAGGAGTAAGGTGAGCTTTTTTTGACTCATTGAAGACCACTCTCGCTGCTGCATTCTGGATCAGTTGCAGAAGCTTGATAGTACATGCGGGAAGGCTCGCCAAGAGAGCAATACAATAGTCCAGTCTGGAGAGAACAAGAGCTTGGACAAGAAGTTGTGTGGCTTGCTCTGACAGGAAAGGTATAATCTTTTGGCTAATATTGGCTGTTTATTAGTACTTATAAAAGAAACACATTCTACATGACCATATTCTACATACCTAATCCTACCCAATACCTAAACTTAACAACTACCTTAACTATTAATAAGCAGCAAATCAGAAGTTAATTTAGGCAAAAGTCGTAGTTAATGGTTTGTTAATAGCGAGAATTGGACAGTAAATTAAAGTGTGACCAATAATTCTTTATTAAATCATAATTTGCCCTGTAATCATAATTGCATTGCAGTGAATTGTATGTATAAGTTGTGCAAATATTTAGGTAGGGGCACACTCTTCCAATAAGCCTATACTGAATAATTATTCCACCTCAATCATGTGTATGTTTTTAATGGGCATTTTATTTGCATTTATTTATATACTGATGTTTTCATTTAGCATTTTTATTTTTAGAAGTAATTAAGCAAAAATATTCAAAACTTAATGATGTTAACTTACCTGCCCTGCACTTTAATGTCTGAGATGGCATAGAAGTATCTAGAAAGGTTGTTCTCGTCCACCATTGTGGCTCCGGTGGCAGGCCGTAGAAGTCTTATTCGAAGGTCAGTGAGGGTGAAGAAATCCCTTAGGTTCTTGGTGGTGTCCAGCTGCCCATACAGAGAAGCCATGTTGTGCAGTCTCGGGCCGGCAAGAAGGGCGAAGCGGTCTTTGATCTCGAAGCGCACAGTCTTATCGTACTTCCACACGTAGCCCGTTGAATAGGCCTCTGTGCAGATGATCTCTAGCATCGTGCTTGGGTTCAGCTGATGTACTGCTTTTGGCTCCATAGTAAAGGCATCCAAACAGTCAGATGCGTAAAACTGATACGGCTGCCACGTACGACCGTAATCCAGGGACTTCTCCAAGACCAACTGCTCGGGTCGGCCAGACTCAAAGGTGAGGACAATGTCATCTGTGAGTTCTATTGTTTTGTTCCAGGACAGCGTGATGTTGACCTGAAGGGGCTTGGGGTATTTCTTCCAGGAGGTCGACTGCCAGAACGTGGTTGGGTTTCGTCCTTCAGAGTCAAACATGAGCTCGGGCGGGTGGGCCAGCTCTTCGGTATCAGCGTCGCATTCGTTATTACACATATATGGGTTTTCCTGAAACACACACAGAGAGACCGGATGTGTTAATTATGCAGTACGCTAATAGTAACGGGTTTCCCGTTAGACAGTGCCACTCGTTTGAGGTGAACCCACACTGAGATGTTTGATTCTCCACATGAATCACAATGTTAATGAACATATTCTTTAGTGAAAACACTTCAGCCTCCATTAACGCAGTAAGTTGGACGTTTTCCTCAGTTGACTGCTAATACGACGCTCTGAATGGCCATCGCCTGCTTTCAGAGCGGTGTGCCTCATGAGAGCTGCTCAATGGTTACCCACTCGCTCACTACCACCCAAATTGCTAATATAATTTATATTCTTGCTTGTTGGCCAGTTGGAATGGGAGTGGAATTCCGATGAGTGAAGTTGGAGGTACACACAGAGCTCCATGCATTTTTCATGTGTCTGCCCTGCACCGCTGAGCCACTGTGTTTCAGATCAACTTTTTCATTAATATTCTGCACACCTCTGAGCCATAGCGCAAATGACAATCAGCCATGAACTTTGAGGAGACGGCCATTAATTTCTGTATTGTATACATGTTTGATCGGCTGCAATTGTCATACATCTTGTTTTGTTTCAGGCACAAACAGTGGCTGAATGCAATTACAAAAGATGCATACCATCTAAAGGCTCTTGGGACAAAATATTCAGCTTTGTTTGTGGAATAATTTTATCCCCATCGCTGCTGTCAGTGGAAGAACTGACAGATTGTGATGCTTCCTCTCATCAAATTAATTATCTACTCTGCGTTGTTGGATCAAAATGTATTTCCCTTGTTTGTTTAGTCCAGGAATGTTCACAGGGAGATTGGATCTATAGATGCTGTGCTGAGCAAAGACTTTTTCACTTGGGCACAAGTGTTTAGTCAGGCAGAATAAACATATCTTTAAAGGAAAATCCATTTACTGCTATTCATGTCACTCCAAACCCATATACTGGTTTCCATGAAGCACAAAATATAAATTTTTGAAGAATCTTTACACAATTCTTGCTATACAAAAACAGTTCATAGTAACCAGTGGCTTTCAATATGCAAATATTACATAAAGTGTGTGAAAAAATTTCATATTCCTTTTCTTACTTTAGGCATAACTGTGCACAATTCAGAATTTTTTTTTTCTGAAACTGAAATGTGGTAGCAAACAGAATAGAAAAACAATGGAAATACACTTCGAATTTGAATGAATTGAAAGTCATTTAAAAACACCTTTGAAGGTTTTATAATAGATAATTTGGATCTGTTTGAAATGCCTTACCTTTTGCCTTATTTATAACAGAAGACTCAACCATTTTTAACTGGAATGTGCAAGGTTTCCGATGTCAGCCACTTTTAGTTATTTTAGCTGTTTGATATGCTACGTGATGTTGCAAACTGGTATTTGATACATATTATTTAATTTATTATTGTAATCATAAACACACTGGTTTGTAGCCCAAACAGTTAATACGGTTTATAGTAGTAATATAAGAATACTGTTTCCTGCACTTTGTTATTCTTTTAGTTATAGCGACTAATTCATTGGAAGTCTCACACACTCACAAGAAATGGCTTACATCTACAATGAAAAATAAGGTGAATAGAACTGTATACTGAACTTATTTTTATTAAGCCAATTTATGGATAAAGATGAAAGACTTAATCTCCTAGAATGCCAGAACCGGCTATATTTCTCTTATATAGTATTATATAATAATTTATATATACAGTGTATATATATATATATATATATATATATATATATATATATATATATATCTCTATATTCTCTATAAT